AAAAAAAAAAACGGTAACCTGGTTGCCGAGTTCACGAAGTGAATTGGCTTGTTTTACAACGTCTTTGCCAAGAGACGAAAACCCAATCCCGATGGCAAAGAACCTACCAGAGGGGGAAGGAATCATGTTGCATTTGGTATTCGGGTTCTGCTGATGACCCGATCAACCAATCCAATGCAGAGCGATGTGGCTCTACGCTAACGGTTCTTGTGCTAGGTTCGAGGTTCTTGTCAGTGGGTTGCTCTATGTCTCGGACGGTTGTCGCCGAAGGTGATAGACCAAAGACTTAAAAGGCCGAGGATGATAGATGGTGCTTTGAAGAGGAAACGTTGTCGTTAATTCTGCTCGCTGCTGTACTCAACTCAAGCCGATCAACATTGCTGCTATTCGACCGAACTCCTGCACTCAATTGCTGGAACCAACCACCGCTTCGAACTCTGTCAACGCACTGGTAACCGGACACTCAAGCTCGCCTTCTGCTCCTTGCCCTGGTAGACTCTCTCTTCTGAATTCATGAGCGGCAGCGCTGCTGCTGCTGCTGCACAACATCCTTCACGTACGTCCACAGAAATATGCCAATTCCGCCGCAAAGCGGGGCCCGAACCCAAACATCCCCTGAAGCGAGCCTACTTCGTACCACAATCAGAAATTGGTATTTCTTGGGGTTAGGAGGCATTTATATTACGTGACGAAGCAGATGTCTGCGTGCTTGTATAAGACAGACGTACGCAGGTCAGCCCTACAGTCAAGTTTTACCACGTCGGCGCATCAGTGCTAGGAGGAGCACCGGGATAGCTAGAAGGAAGAATGGAACAACACTGCCAGTTGCTACCTGTTAGACCATTCTGTTCCCGAAGAGTCTTGTAGAACGGCGGGTGTGCGTACTCGGGACACACCACTTCAGGAGCGACCGAGATGAATCAGTTGAAGCCAACACAGATGACCACAGCGAAACACAACATGCAACGGGAGAACGTAGGGACTACTTCCTGGCCCAGCTTTGCTAGTGAAGCAGAAATGCAGGGAGGACAAAACCATCGGACAGCAACAGCAGCGTTGGCAGTACATGATCAAAATTAAGTCAGGAACGAAAAACGGGCCCGCGCTGTACGCGTAGGCTATAGGCCCCTCCATCAAGTTTCCTCTCCCTTACGCGCACCCACCGCCACTAATGCTGTGGCATCAAAATCGTGCACCATCGCTTGCCCAGGTATCAGTGGGCGTATTTAGAAGCGGCTACCCGATAGCTTGCAATTTTCCCTTCCTTCGTCGACTGGGGCTGCAAAGTATTCTCTGCCTGTGCCCAGAGAGCGTGCTCCCTGGGTCACTAGAGTGGGCCAAGGAATCCGGAGTAAGCATGGAAATGTGCGATTTAGGAGAGAACAGCCCACCTTTCGTGTCCATGCCGCTCGCGGCCATGAGAAAAGCGGTGGACTATCTCTCTGGTGAGTGCAAGCACTAGAGTGTAGACAGCTGCCACAGCAGTATCCGCACGGCAACCGCGGCCAAAATCACTGCTTTTTGGTGTAGCCGTGTGTGAAGGGTCTTTAGGGTCTTTGTAATAAGCGAGTGATGTTGCACACTTGTGCGAGAAGTTACTGCGCCCTGTGTATCGTCAACCACGGCGCCATGCTGCAGTTTTGCCTTTGCCTTAGCAACCGCTGTGAGTTGGTGTCCAAGCCATTCAGACTACGACCCGCGACAACAAAGTACTTCACCCCTGCGTTCATCCTCACGTCACCCATGTGCTCCCACCATACCTTGTGCTATCTGCAGATTGTCGAAATCGACCAGTGCTGGTGCATTGCCTCACTGGGAAGACTCAAACAGGTTGCGCAATAGGCTGCCTCCGGCGAAGACAAAACTGGGCGCTGGGGGCTATCTTCGATGAGTACACGCGCTTCGCGGGACCGTCGGCAAAACCGTTGGATATGCAATTCATTGAGCTGTTCGAGTGACTTTTTAGCCCGCTGTCACACATGCCTGGATGCGTGCCAAGCCGGCAACGCAAGTGTTTGTCTGTTTCTGGACCAAATGGCAACGAAATTTGTTTCCCTAAGTTTCACTTACACAAGCTCTACAGGTACCACCCTGCCCGAACTTCTGCCGTCAGCGAGCCTCGCCAGCCGTGCTGACAAGCTTTCACGTCCCAACTCTTTGCTATCCGTTTCTGGTTTCGCTCTCGGAAATGGAACAGCTGGAGGTTCGGGGTGGGTTAGTCCCGGGGCTTGAAACGAGCTGATGACCGCGGGGCCCCCGTGAAGCTCTTGGTCTTCGCGGGTGGTGTGGCCACTGGCGGGACTAATGCGTGCTTGTACTCGCATGCGATGTCTTGACTTCGGGTTCCCATCTTGTGTAGGAAGTTTGCCACGTAGCATCTCGCCACCCTTTGCAGCCGAGTAGGACCAGGTATCTCCTGGCCGCAACTTGCTGGGGTCGTTGTTTAGCCGGGCAAAGTCAAGCGGTGGCACAACGGCTGGTGATGTCGACAGGTGGACGAACCGCGAGTCGACGAACGGCGCGGCCGTAGGCGACCGACCGTTGCCGTAAGCCGGCCCTCGGCGGGCTGGTGCTGTCATGGCTCGATGGTCGTCTTCGGCGGAATCCTTCCGCATTTGTAGTTCACATTCGCCGCACATATGAGAGTAGCGATAGGGCGGGGACGTTCACGCGTTAGGTCGACCTCGCGTGGTAGACGGTCTTGAGCAACTGTCTAGGAGCGAACGCAAAAACATTTAGGCCTTCGTGCATTAGCAAAGGAGATGCTGCCCAACTCAGCGCGAGCGAAGTTCATCTAAGGGAGCCAACGATCAACCACTCTGCTACCGCAGTGAAGCCTGGGTTGGGAGAGATCCCCACCCTGCGACGTGTTCACGTGCCACTTACCGTTGTTCCCCTGGTGCTTGAAGCCGAACCGTCTCGTGCCCGACGCTGCTGTCCTGGGGGCGTCGGTAGTGACAAGAAGTCGCTAGCTGGCCATTCCGACTCGAGAAGTCTGCTTGCCTCTTCTCGAATCGAGTCAATTTCCTCTTTCGGGAGGTTGAAGAGGGTCCTGAGGAAACGAGGCCAGCCCCGCACCGATGTTATGATGAGAGACAGGTTTCTCTTCTGTGTTGTGTCATCCCCTTGATCTTTTAGTTCTGTGGGCCGCGACCAGTCAAGTATGATCTCGGGACTGTTCTCCACCCCCTATCACTACTCTGTCGTGACTCTTTAGGCTCCCGGTCTGATGATGTCCCTTGAACGACATGCTTTTGTTCCAATCGGCGCTCACGTTCCGTGCAAACGTGTATCCATTCGAGCCTCGCAACCTCTACTGAATAGTTAGTCTAGTGCATATAGATATGCAGCTAGCTTTTCATGCAGACCTGAGAGGCACATTTCCGTCGTGGGGGTCGTCCCACGCATCTCCGTAGATCGATCTGCCCCGCGCATCCCATCTCTCTTGCGCGCCGTGGAGCAAGCGGCCTGCACCCTTGCGCGCCGTGAGGACCAGCCGGTTGTGCCTGTGGATTCGAGCGCGCTCCTTCAATCTCTGTGCCTTCTCCTCTAGTAGTGCCTGTTATGTTTGCAGTGAGCGCCGACAAGTCACAAGTGCGCTAAACTCACGGCATCGAGCACAGTATCTTAGATGGCCACAAATATGTGCAGAGAAAGTTCGTGGCTCTACACGTTCGCAATTCAACCTACTCAGTCGAAGATCAAACCCTTCGCAACCTACTCTGCGACGGTTTCTAGTCTGTAACAAGGTTGTTGTTGACGTCGCCACATGGACATCATTCAGCGCACTCTGCTAAACGTTACTTCCCACAGTCGGGACGATGTAGTCTACGCGAGAGTCGCAAAAGCTCTCCTCTGAACCAAGTAGAGTTTTTCTCTAGCCTCGAACCATTGTGGTTCAATTGAGTACACGTTGCAGCGTGACACGTGCAGCACACCTCCTTCGCCATCTCTCGATCAATTCGTAACTGGCCAAGCTGTTCTGGGGAGAAAGCATTCGGCCTGGGTCTTCCTTGAAACAAAATACAGACCATCACCAGTACGGTCAACCCCACCACGATCACGACCGCTTGCATGAGGCCCGATTCCACCATGGCACCTCCACAACGCAGGAAACCGCGCCTATTTATTACGCACCGAGAGAGCGCTCTGTTAGATCCACTGCTGGTATGTGCCTGTTCGTGTTATCGAGAACCATCTCCGGGCAGGAGAAGCCTCTCCGAAAGAAAGCCTCCCGCTTTGGCGACAATCTCACCGCCTCGGAAGAAGACAAGGTGCGACACGGGTCCACGTTCTCTCCGGCCTCCATGCGCGTGCAGCTTTGAGAAATCGGCACATCCTTTCGCCAATACAAATGGCTGTGGACTCCCTGCAGGAAGCCTGGTGAATATTGTTGGTCAACCCAGCGTGAGTGGTGAGTACCACCTACTCAATGCGAAAGCAGGTTTTGAAGACCCTGGTTGCCGCAACGAACCATTCTATCGAGTGAACAACAACGTTGTTGCGTACATAGCAGCGCGCTGTGCATGGTGCGGCCCTCCTGATGATGTTGTCTATCGCCCGCTCTCACGTGTGTGACAACGATATGATTGGGCTGGAGTATTCCACCTCTCGTTTCCATATGTGTGGGATCCATGGCGTGTTTGGGTCACCCAGACATTTTAGCGTCAGCGTGTCAGGTGTGTCCTTCTTTTTTGTGTCTGCTGCCGGCCACGTTTGACACCGATCGCCGGAGCCGGAGCGGAGCGCGGCCCGTTCATCCTCCTGTCACTAAGACTAAACACACGCAACACCACCGCATCCTTGTGAACACTGTGACAATCAGCGTTGAAGCCCACCCAGCACTACTACTTTGCCAATCTGTTGGTGTCGTAGCGTCCCCCCGGTCGCCTAGCGCCAACGCGTAGCGAGAGTCGCTTTCATGCAACTTGCATCTTGCCAGGTGCAGAATGGCCGTCGCCAGGTCAAAGTTCGGCTCTTTTGCACACAAACCCGATAATCAGCTGCTGTGCACCTCCTCGCCATGTGGTAGACTGGTGTCCATGTCAAAAGGTATCTCGGATCCCTGCCGCTTGGTTGTTCTCTCGAAGTGTCGTATGTGTCCCCGCGTGGCTGGCGCTATTTGTGTTGCTCAAGCATGGCGTTTACTTGCGAGCGTATGTTGGATGCGGGCGCCCTTCATGATGATGAACCTCCCTCTTCGCAGCGAGCGAAAAGACTAAGACGTCGAAGTTGCCTTTATTTGCAAGCATACATCAAACAAGACTATCCAATTGAGTGATATTGCTGTAGTGCAAAAAGTTTGCCGCAAACGGGTCCTGGTTCTCTACATAACATGCCTGGAATTGAACTTCTATCATGAGGTTTGCAACTTCACAAACTCACTTACAGAGCGTAACCATGTTACGCAAAAATAGTCTGATTGTCGTCTTGTGTAGCAGCCGTCCACAGCAGTACGGCGGTTGCGAGCAACCTCGTTGACTCTTGCCTGCAAGCAGGCGACATATTTGTTCAAGGACTGGTTCGCTCGCTCATCCTATCGCGTTGCATTCTCTTCTCCCAGTCACTCCCGCTCGAAGCAAGCAGGAAGGTTGTAATCTTCGGCAGCCGCCGCTGGTGCTCTCGGGCCTTTGAGAAAAACATGCGCATGATCGAAACGGTCGCAAGTTATTTGCCGAGCCTGATCGTAAATCATCTCATTAAACGGTGAGAGCACGGGCACGGGTAGTATAGATACACATGGCTCTTACATGCACTTGTACAAGAGTCCGCGCTTGGTCGCTATTATGTTTGTAATGTTTGTAACTTTTCGCCGTAGAATACCACCGGTGGCTTGATTTTCTGAATACTACGCAGATTTCAAACGATGGTAATCGACCCCTGCGGCACAGCTGGCTAGGACTACAGAGCACATTCTTCGGCGCTTGGTCCCTATGTTACTATTTACCGGTACCCTGTGTCATATTTGTAGCCCCTTGCATCTGTTTTTTTCGTCGTACAGTAAGGTACCGGCGTTGCTTGTTACACCTCGCGTATCGTCGTTCCGCGGACGGTGCTGTACGGTCGACGAGGACGACGGCACCACTGCTGTACCTCAACTGTGATGTACAACGGTGGATCCGTTGGTTGCTGTCTACAGTCTACAGCCGGTAGCACCGTTAGCACCACACAAGAGATGGTATGCATATTGTGCGAATACTGCGTAGCCAAGAATACAGGGGTGGCGGAGCACAAGTTGGTTGGTACCCATGGGTATTTTCTGTGGGGGGGGTGTTGTCATCCATCATTTCTGGGCGGCGGTTTTTGACGCCTTCCGATACAATTTATGGACGCATCAACCGGGGTCACACGGGACGAAGGCTACGCAGGTATTTTCTCCGCCTTCCTTTCTGCGGTGGTGCTTGCCCATCATTTTTTAGTTGTATCACGCTCGAGGGGTGCGACGAAATAAAAATTCGACCCTCGACCCGAGACTTGAAATCTCATAGCTGCGCGGACCCCTACTTTTCTGCGTAGCACAAATAGACGTGGAATTCTATGGTCTGTACTTAGGAACTCCTTCTGTTGTTTCAAGTATCCTATCTTTTTAGAACACGCGCCGCCTTAAAGGCGAGTGCTTCCCAAGAGCTTGGCTGCTCCCATGCCCGCGTCTGCAACTCCGATCCCCCCCCCTATATTTTCACGTCGATCGCTTCGACAGCACTACTAACGAGGAGCTCCCCAGCAGACAAGAGTATGACACCGTGTGCCTCTTCGCGGACGTGTCGGGCTTCACGACCTTGTCGGAGGCGATGATGACTTCCTCGGAGGGGGTGGAGGGGTTGGCGAAGCACCTCAACTCTTACTTCGGGCAGATGGTTCGCATCATCGCGTCGGAAGGTGGAGACGTGTTCAAGGTACGAAACACCTTCGTTCACGTATTTGTTTGCTGCTGAACCGCCGAAGTGTTTGGATGAGGCGCTACTGGCTGGCGTGTTGTTGGTGCCGCTCCACAACCGTGAGCTAGGTCTGTCGCCGGTGCTTGTCTGTCGCTGCAGTCGTCTCTTGGACCACAAAAAAAAGACCGAGAGTGTTTGACGTTTGCGGTGTTCCCACCGGCACGAAGAGTTGACACCGCTAAGGGGTGAACGACTCTCCAACGGTCTCTCGGCTGTCTTCGCGAGCTTGGCCTGCCTTCGTCTGTTGGCTCCTGCCTGTTAAGCTCTCCCTCACCATTACAACGAGTTTTTTCGCCCGTCGTCGCTGCTGTGCCTCTTCTGCTGACCAGTTCGCCGGAGACGCGTTGATCGTCCTGTGGCCGCCCCCGGCCAGGGAAGCACTGACGGACATCTCCGTTAAGGGCCGGGAAAAAGAGTCTGGCGAGGTATATACACGACGGAAGTGATATACATTCACTCACACGGACGGCAATACTATTTGTTATAGTGTCTTGCGAGGTACATTCGCTGCGGGTTGTGAATCCATCGACTATACTCGGGTCGATGGTGTAGGGCAGCACCATCGACCCGAGTATAGTCGTCGACGGCAACATTACTATTACTGCAGGGCAGCACCGTCAACCTCGGGGGAGGCTGGGGTGGATGCACTACCCGCAAAGGGTGCGGACCTGTCGGTAGTGCTCCAGAGCGACTACAAGTCACCTCAAGGCCGGCCGCATTGAGCGTGTGCTCTCGTCACACTTGCAGTCACCTTGTCCCGAGGCCGGCAGGGGGCTCGAGCATCGAAGGCTTTACCTGCCCAGTCTCGGCCCTCAGCAGAGCTCGGTATTGCTTTAGAAGCCCGTGTTTTGGTACAACACGTTCATGAGGGACCTAGTCAGAACTAGCTACACACGCCCTGGTTTTTCTGCGGCGCAACCTTGTGGCACGTGCGTTGTAGACCCCAATAATCCGTGTTCCTCCTGCTCGCGGTTTTGCTTTTGGAATCCGATGGCCAATTGACGGACGTCTTTGACACCCGACCCTTCTCCACGGTGGCAGCGCGAGGGCACGACCCCGATGGAACGGAGGGTGCGGCGAGCGGCCCAGTGCGCCTTCGCGATACAGGAGTCGCTGCACAACGCAGAGCTCACCCAGGAGGTGCGCCTTAGCGTCAAGATCGGGATCGGCATGGGAAAGGTCTCTGTGCTGCATCTCGGGGGCGTGTACAAGCGCATGGAGTACATTGCGGTGGGCGAGCCGCTCCTGGAGGCCTTCACCGCGGAGCACCACGCTACCGCGGGGGATGTGAGTTTGGGGCCGGGGGGGGGGGGGGTACTCATAGTCGTGCATGCCGTAGTCGTTAGACC